TATGACGGCCCAGGGGGCCCCTCTGCGATCTGGCCGCCCACCCGCTCCGGCCTGACCTCCGCCTCCCACACGCTGACCTCCGAAGTGCCCGGGGCCCCGATACCTCTCTCGGGGTTGCCCAGCCATCTCTCCCAGGCCGCCTCTAGCCCCGACGCCCTCATGTCCCTCATGCCAGAGACGATCTTTGCTGGTGGTTCACCCACTGACTGTCTCTCCCACGTCCCCAGGGGTCAGCACGGCGCACGGCAGGTGCCTGGATGTTAACTAAGGACCAGGAAACATCCTTTTTGCACTTCAGATATTTATTAATTCCCATTTCCAAGATTGGATCATTTAAAGAGTCATCTGAAAATTCCTTTCTAACAGAGAACACACCCCTAATTCACAGCCTTTTTCTATCATACAAATGAACAGACCCTGTGGAAACCGCTCCGCCCTATCTGAGCAGAGGTTTAGAGCAAGGCCATTCTGGGGTGGCGGTGACCCTGAACCCCGGCCCTGGCCTGGTGGGGAGCACAGGCTCAGCAGTCCACGCCCCGCATGGCGGCCACCGTGGCGGCGAGGCGCCGGGGCTGGCCTCTGCTGGTGAGGCGGAAGTCCTCGGGCTTGGCCTTCAGGAGCGTGACCACACTCTGGAGCGGGCGGGAGGGCTGCAGGCCCAGGGCGTCCATCACGTTGATCAGGTAGTCTGTGGGCGGGCAGACAGACTCAGCACCAGGCGGGCGACAGCCCGAGACACCCCCAGTCCCCAGAGGCCCCTTGGCTGGCACCTCTGCTCTGAGGGCGAGACCTGGCCGAGCCCGGCCGGCGCCAGGAGCCCAAGCTAGGAAAGGACGAGCGGCATCGCTGCCGCCCCAGCGTACACGCCGCTCTCCGGCCGACCTCACCGGACACGGAGCACTGCGCCGGGATTCCTGGGCCCCCAGTGACCCTCCCCAGCGTACCCCACTGACCACGGGGAAACCCAAGGGGTCAGGAGAACCACAAGCTCATCTGAGCAGCTCCCCAAGGCCTCCCAGCAGCACCCCCAGGAAGACAAGGGCGGTGCTGGGGGTCCCCATGCATCCTTGGGTGCTACTTAGTTCCTGAGCCCACCCCAGACCATGTCGGGGGTCTCCAAGGGAGGGTACGAGGGGCCTACCCACGAGCTTGGGCCCCGGTGGCAGAGCTTGGGAGGGGAAGACCAGCTCTGGTGGCCTGGGGACCTTGGCGAAGCCCTCCACCCGTGCCCAGCGCCCACCCAGCTGCTCATGCAGTTCACGCCATTGGGCTGTATGTGAAGACAAAGAACCAGGGCAGAGGCCAGGGGGGCACCTGACAACTGCAGGTGACCAGTGAGTGGACACTGCCTTTCCTCCTCCTCCCTCAGTGGGTTCAGCCCAGGCCTGAGGAAGCAGCGCCCTGACCTCCTCCCTCCCCCTGCTCCAGAGGACGGAGACAGCACCCCCACCCCCGGCAGGCACCCCTTCCTCTCCATGGCTGCCCAGGTCACCCTCTTCTCCCTGAGATGCGCTCCCGGCGAGACTTCCTGTGGCCCAGGGCAGGGCCAGGCCCAGGAGGTGCCTGGGGAGCCACTGCCCAGCAAGGTCCCCGTCTGACCCACGAAGCTGGGCCCCTCGCCTGAAAGCCAGGAGCTGCAGGGCGATACCACAGCCACCACGACACTCCATTTGGCCAGCAGTGACTGGGCATGTGTTAACGGTGAACCTGAGCGTCTGCGGCCTGCACTGTGCTGCACTCCTGGCCACCCCTCCCCGTGCCGGGGCAGCTCACCCAGCACCTCTCCGTCCCCTGCGCCCCCTTCCAGGCCCTGCGCCGGCACCAGGGAGGGTGGAGGGGTGGGCTGGCGTGC